AGGAGGCGTGGCAGACCCCACAAAGTATATATATTCTTGATCAGGGCGACGAGCTAAGTCGATTTGGCCCAGTCCGTCTATTATCCGTCCGTCTGAAGTCGATTTCAGAAGATATAAGAGCTAGAGACTTCAAATTTTGTTTTTTTAATGTTCGTATATATATTACTAAAAACCGACCGAAAAATCAGTATGCTGCGAGAGTTCAAACATACCTGATCACATTTTCATATGCTATGCGCTATTTTTGCTGAATATGTACGTAGATTCACTGCTGCAGCGCAGCAATGTAATTTTAAGTTTGAATGTACATATGTATGTATGTGTGCACGAGTATAGGAAAACTGTAGTAGCTTCTGCAGAGTTGCGTTTGTTAATTAGTCAAATATTTTGTAAATTTATTAACGTCAATTGACTTCACGAAATTTTATGAAACTCTTATCATATAATCTATACATATATTACATTGAAAATTTGACATGAAAAAAATGGAAAAACCATTCACAATTAGCTATTCTGGATTCTGGTGACTTTGAACCTTGTATCCAAAATATAACGAAAATATAAATTTTATGAAATTCATCTACATATGTATGAATATATTTAAAATTTGGAGACTAGTTTTAGAGATGTAGGAGCTATAATTTTATAACTGTTTTTCGATAAGGCTTTTAATCGATGAAAATATAATCTCATATGTATGACGCGCTCATACATACGGACGGACGTACGGAATAACAGACAGATGAACAGCCCTAATTCGACTTAGCCCGTCATCCTGATCAAGAATATATGTATTTACCTTGAGGGGTCTGCCACGCTTCGTTCTGCCCGTTACATAATTGTATGTATTTCAAGAAAACCATTATAACCTGATTTCTCATTTTCGATGCGTTAAGGGTATCAACAATTTTTAATTAAGGACAATTACTTAACATATATGCTTAGACATACTCTGGAACGATATTAATCGCAGTAAATCCATACAAATCCATAAATATTTTTAATAAGGTAAGTATTTCCGGTTGGGTTAACTAATAAATAATAATAAATTTACTGTTTTTTTTTTTTTTTTTTTTTTAATAACCGTGATCATTAATGGGTTTTTTTTTGTTTGAATAAGGCTACATAGTAAGAGAGCATGGATATTGCTTTAAATTAAAATACAGTTTATTTTATATATACTGGGTTACTACAGACCGGTAGGTTTTTACATAAAATATAGCGAGTGCATTTATTTATTTTTTTAAATTAGATAAATTAGATGAATACTTCCAAACTTGTCTTATCGATTAAAATCCTTACTAAAAATAAGTGATATAAGTTATATTAAAATCTATGTTAAAGGACTTAATTTTGTTATGCACAATCTTCGCGCCAGGTCTTCCTTCAAAATTGCAAATGCGTATTTCAACTATTATTATTAGCATAAAAGAAGAGAAGAAAAGAAACTCTCTAGTTCGAGCTGAACCATATTGCCCTGTCCGTTTGTGTTACATACATATATATTACATCATTGTCAAAATCCTACACCTATAGATTATTTACTAATTTTTTAATAATAAATATTTTTATAAAGGATTATGTTGAGCAATACCACATGGCCAAAATGGGGTCATTAGATCCCCATGTTTTTGCATTAGCTGAAGCTGCCTATAGAAGCATTGTTGAAGAAAAAATTAATCAGGTAAATAGTTTTTATGTATTATACGCACTATTTATTATTATTATTATTTAAAAACACGGAATGTCCCAATATTTATTGTAATATTGAATCATATAACTTAGAAGTTTGTTTTCAGAGTAAGATTATATTAAACGCTTGTTTTTTTACGTTTTAATCATAACGGAATGTCCCAATATTTATTGTAATATAGAATTAATAACTTAGAAGTTTGTTTTCAGAGTAAGATTATATTAAACGCTTGTTTTTTTACGTTTTAATCATAATAGGTTGATGGCTCTGAACTTTTCGAGCAACTCGTCATTAAACTTTCAGATTATAGTATTGTTAACGGGTGGATATGGGGGATATATACATAAATCGAATCATATAAAATGATATAAAATACATATTTACATTTAAAATTCTACATTTAAAATTTGACGACTCTAGCTCAAAATGTGTAGGAGATACGGAAGAAGGACGTTTCACAGCACATAGAGTATATATTCTTGATCAGGCCGACTAGTTGACCTGTTACAACCCTAACCGACCGTCCGTCTGTTTGAACGCCGATATCGTAGAGGATAGAAAATAGTCCTGTATACCTCATGCAGTACAAAATTGTCGCCTTTTTCGAGAATAATCGATAAATTAATTTTGTTATTTCATACTATTAGACCTGGGGACGTCAGATTTGATTTTTTATACATAGATATTGGATACCACGCATTCAAATTTCAAATTTCGCAGATAGGTTATCATGAGCATGTTTTATGAACTGGCCAAAAATGAAATGTCTACGCCTAAAACTGAATTTTCCTCAGTATTAGAACTAAACTTAGCCACTAAATTGCTGATGTGATGTGAATGAGTATTCCGCAGTAGGTTACGCTTAACTGCCTAGTTCTTACCTTGAACTCATTGAAAATGGGAAGTCAGGGTATAATGTATATAACAGGCAGAGGGGACCCGTATATCCACCCCCTCATCACTATATTTGTAAAGGGCGTATTTCAAATACGAGAGACTTGTGCTTTGGCAAATACATACATCTCTATGTTATAATCATAATCTAAAAGTAAACAATTAAGTTCCAATAGCAAGTCCGCACTGCAGCCAATGCGTGTTTATACGTGCGTGCGTATGCCTGTGTGAGTGTGCATGTGCGAATAATTATTGAAATATCAGTTGCTCGAAGGTTTCAGGGGAGCTTTCTTACTTGTTTTTAATTATATTGTGTACATAAAAATTCCTCAAAAATAATGTTATATAGTAAAAAAAGTAATATAGTTATAGCGCGCTTGCAAAAATGTATATCAAGTACCGCTTTTTATACTTGTAAATCAATTTAAATATATTTGAGTTGTATATTCTTCTTATTCTATCTTTTTTCTTCAGTTGCAAATACGCATTGCGTAAATGATGAATTAAATGTTATATTTTAAAAATAACATCATTAGTTTTAATACAATAGATTATTGAGTTGTATTTTTCAGAATGAAATACGTTTTTTTATAACTCTGTAATCAAGTAATATTCTAAATAGTTTTTATTTTTTATGTTAATTAGTCATGCCTTATTTCTGGAGAATCTGGAGCTGGAAAGACAGAGTCAACCAAATTTGTTTTGCAATACTTGTGTGCCATCACATCTAATATTTCGTCTTGGATTCAACAACAAATATTAGAAGCGAATACCATATTGGAGGCATTTGGTAAATAACCCTATTTTAGTTGTTTAATTTAAGAGGAATATAAGCATAACACATAAGACGAACTTAGCTAAATTAATATAATTGACCAACTATTATTACCTGAATCCATTAAATATGAGAAATCCGGGAAATAGTTTTTTGTAAACATGTATCCAACATGCAGACCTCATAATTATATATTATTGATTCATGAGGCTTAGTTAGGTAGTTATTTGATATGCTGGGGCAGACTCAGTCTGTACAGTGTATGTCTTCAATTTTTAGTTTTTCAGCTGTTCGCCAATGCGCTTGCCAGCGGGAGCGGCCCAAACTGAGTGGCGCTGGGAGACTACACCCAATAATTTCCGATGGATTAATTGGAGTTATCAGAGTGGTATTTTAGCGAGTATTCAGGAGAAGGAAAATAATATATGTAGTGTAAATATTTTAGTATAAATATTTGACACTATATAAGTCAATGAGTATTTTATTACATTTATATTTTAAAACAGATCGAAAATGTGATTCTTTATACCCTGAACACATTGAAAATGGGAAATCAGGGTATAATGGTTTTCTGTAAAAGTATGTAACGGGCAGAAGGAATCATCGCTAGACTCCATAAAGTATATATATTCTTGATCATGACAACGAGCTGAGTCGATATAGCCATGTCCGTCTGTCCGTCCGTCCGTCTGTATGAGT